AAACTCACACACACCCACTTAAACACTTCTAAAACTTTCCGCGCTAGTTCTGACCGACACACAGCCCGGTCCGAGGACGATGTCAGTCTCGCCACGCAGTGTGCGATTTTCGATACATAGCAAGTCAACGATGATATCCGCACCAGAGAGCAAACTATTGCATTACGATCTGTGACGCCAGGTTTTAAAGAACAATGTGGGAGGGAAATTTTGGTGATTTCTGGAAACTTGTGAACACTGTTTTTACAAGGTTAATTTATAAGACAAATTCAATAAAGAAATAAAAGAGAAAGGAGGAGAAGTGTCAAAACTAAAAGCAGAATTTCATAAATGAGACACGATTGACGATGAGTTTAGCAGCAGTGCAACTCACTTTTATCCAGAGTGTTCCCGATTTAAATCTCAGCCGAGACATTTGTTGTCCTGACTGAACGTTTTCACGGTTTTCCTCAGTTTATGGGGGAAAACGGGATACCATACTAAAACATGTGTGTGGATAAACTAAAAAAAACGTCAGAATAAACATCAGACAAGATAACCGATCCAATGATATAACCGGGTACTTCCAGAAACCAAATCTGAAGAGGTGTCTACTAAATTGCAGCATCTGGAAATAAGCACGTTATTCTAAGATAAATAAAAAGAGGCAGTCATAAACGTAATAACAGCCATAAACATCGAAACAGGTTTGGACGCGGAATAAACGATACGAAAATATATGGTAAAATCTACAGGAAAGGATCAGGGGTCAAAATGTGACAAAACAGCGAAAGAAACAAAGACTTGAAAACAAGTAACGTGAATACTAAATCTAGTGAAAAGAAATCAAAGAACACAGGTAGGATTTGAGGTTACAACGGCGGCGAGTCCGAAGATGGCTGGCTTCTGGTTCCATCATCAGGGCGATGACTCGTCTCCCTGATTATGGAGGCAGCAAGTATCTCTGAAACGTCGGTAAACTTCTACACGGCACTACAACCCAGAAGACAGCAGTATTAACTTCTTAGGAAATTTTATCTTTCACAATTACGAAGAGCTACGCATTAAGCATGTAAGATTTATGCGGTAGACTCTCTAGTTCCTGTACAATTAGGTGACTCGATAAGTGGATAAGTACGACGCATAACATGTGCTAGCTTTCTCCGCTATGTGTGCAGTAATAACTGATTCCACACCCATCGCTTTTGATAGGACATGCTTAACTATTCAGATCCCATCGTGTTCCATTTCCAAGTCGGCTTTCATGGACTCTCCGAAGCTTATAATGAGCTTGTTAGGCGGAGACGGGTAACGAGATAAACTGCTTTTCTTTTCTGAACAAAGATTATGAAACATCAACCTTTGTCGCAAATCGTTCATTATTTTAAAGCTGATTAAAATATATTAAGAACCAGTTACGTTTCTGTCTGAAGACCATATTCAGTACAAATGTTGAATGTATACTCTATCATTTCAGCACATTTTAAAAATATACAGTGGTCGTCGACCTAGGCAATAAAGTCGAACTATTATTTTATAACAATCGGTTAAATCAAAAATCAAAATAACAATAAAATGCCACAGTCAGTGTTACGTGGAATGTGCTCTGCCTGTCGGAATTTGTGTTCGCAGAGCACGTTCTGTATAACACCGGCCAGGGTATGTGTTCTATATTAATTTAATTTTTAATCTAATACATTTTTCTGTTGTAAGAGGTTAATTTGAAAAACTAGGCCAACCACCAAGAATCTTGTTTTTAATTTGTTGAGCTATTGTGTCACACATTGATCACTGATGGTGACCGAGACCGAAGCGTGTCTGGTTTTTAATCGGCTTTAACCAGATTTAACAATGACTAGTTTGCGATGAAGATTATTGGTGAATATTATTTATATTTAAACCTTACGGGATGACACGATTCAAAATACGCCAGCGATAATCAAAAGACACTTTATTATTTTACGTAAGAGTGACCGTCTTCATGTCACATGTTCCGAATTGATTTTGCGGTTATGTGATATGTTCATAAAACCATTATGATATATTTTTGTAGAATTACGAAACTCTGCAGAATGTAGCAGAGGAGTGAGAGGTTCGAGATCGGATGGACTTATACGAGCCTATATGTATTTCACACGATCTTCATTCCATCAAAGGCATCGCCAACTCTCTAACCGAAACAATTCATCTCTCTTCCTTGAATCCAGTCCAGGAAACCAACGTTCACAATGCATAGCCCTACATTGTGCATATTAATTTCAATTAACAAATCACAGTCGACTGCATTGGCCAGCGACATGTTGGTTTCTCTGGATCATCCTTACGTATGTTGCGTCCATAATCGCGTGAGATAGATGGATATTCACGAAAGGTCGTAATGAATACGAAAGTCCCTCCTTAAATGCGGTTTCTCCAATCGCGGACTGCAACTATCCGCGGATTTTACATTTGCTAGGGCAGAGCTGTAATGGCATCCTGATTTCCTATAAGGCCTTGATATTTCCAACCGAAGTATTTTATAGGAACGAAACTTCTGCTGTTGGCAAAGGATTACTGTATAAGTTTGAATTTTAGAGTGTTGTTGTTGTTGGAGCTGAAACAAACCGTAAAACGTATCCCATCAGTCAAATAGTCCAGTGGGTACGCGAAGACATCTTAGGGGGTACGTGAAATTTAAAAAAAAAATTATATATTATTTTATGATAAACACTGAATAATAAGTAATGTAATTTATTTAATTTATTTTAAATGTAGATTATATACTACGTATAACTTGAATTATACACTAACAACTTTGGGGGTACAAAGTTGAAGAGAAATTATATCTGGGGGTACGCGAAGACATCTTAGGGGGTACGTGAAATTTAAAAAAAAAATTATATATTATTTTATGATAAACACTGAATAATAAGTAATGTAATTTATTTAATTTATTTTAAATGTAGATTATATACTACGTATAACTTGAATTATACACTAACAACTTCGGGGGTACAAAGTTGAAGAGAAATTATATCTGGGGGTACGCGAACAAAAAAGTTTGAATACCACTGAAATAGTCCATCCTAGAATCCGATTTAGAAGCCACCCTGATAGATTAGTTTCAGAAACTTTCTTCAGACCACGGTTGAAGAAAACATTTCCTTTCGGTTATAATAAGGAAGGACTGAGATTTCTATGTTTTATAATACCAGAAGTGTGACAGAATTAAACTTCCTTCATGAAAGTACTTTTGGACTTTGTCCGATGGATGGATAAAAGAGAGACACGACGATTTAGAGTCTGTTATCTCTCACTCTTATTTTGCTGATGTCAACCAATGAGAATTCAGTTTACATGTCACAAGATATAAATAAATGCAATTCTTATTCTATGACAAAACCGTAGCAAGTTCCATACATTTTTCAATGTATTTTCAAGCGATTCAAGGACCAAAACGAAGTGCATGGTACAGGGTCATTCTTGAACACGTGACATTGAGCTGGTTAACAAATCAGAAGGTTCATAAAGGCGCACCATGTACCTCTTCCAGAAACAACTGAATTCAGTCCACGTCTTCAACCAGGATCCACTTTAACATTAGTCTTACATCTACGTGTAGTCTACATTTACGTCTTCCGTGTAGTATTTTTCCACGACTTTTCCTAACAAATTTCTGTACGAATATCTTATTTCTTACAACAGAGCTTCTAATCCTGCGGACACTTATAATTTTTGCGGTTCCTAACTCTATTACAAAAACTGTGTTACCCGGTACTATGAAAATAGTTACCTTGGTATCAGAAACAAGTTTTTGTTAATCATCTGCGTGAAAGTCGGAAAAAAACCCTGAAAAATTACTGAAGTAGAAACGGTGTCAAATATCGCAATAATGACTGATTTTGTTAAAGAAAATTATTGAGTTATATGTCGACAGTCTCTTAAATAATCCTCATCAACTTGCCATTAACAATAATCTTTAAACTTTAAACTTATACTCCATTTAGTACACATAGTAACGCTTCAAGGAACTTAAATGACTTGACATATGAGAAAATTTAACAGAAAATAGACGGCAAAGAGGGATGTGAAATTCTAGAAGACTATAGAATGTAGGCTGAAGATCTGCCCACAGCGTTTAACAAAATATGTTATGATTAGCCACAGAGTGTAGTTTGTCTAGACTGAAGAGTAAACCAGTTCATCGTGTTAATGCGGTTTGTTGCTTGCTAGCTCTGTTTTTAAGCAGATGGGTCGTTCATGTCGGCATAACGATACTGGTGGACGGACAGATTCACTTACTGTTCGTTACTTCACGATGTTTTTTCCCATAATGATTTCAACCCTTTCAGAACAACGATTGTGCGGTGACGGATAACATTAACACCAAATTCCGGATAATCTGTATTTACGAATAAAATAAACAATCATTTGAATAAAAATTTCCTTGGATATTATCCATCGTCTAGTAAAATATAAAATATAAAAAACGTAAAACGACGTTTCGGATATGAGACTCTATCTCCGTCTTCAGGTTCCTACACAGTTGGGCCCACTAGATAGAGCTAATCCCTATCTCCGGAGATAGAGTCCCATCTACGAAACGTCGTTTTATATTTTATATTTTACTAGACGATGGATAATATCCAAGGAAATTTTTATTCAAATGACTCTTCACCATCGTCAAGAAGTTTTAGATTTAAAATAAACAATAATGGCTATTTTTAGATTATCGGTTCCTATTCGGGTGAGTAGCGACAGATTAGTCGGTAAACTGGATCAATTTCAAACCGACTCTACATCAACAGAGACAAGGTTGAAGCTAGCCACTCACCTCTATTCAAAGCCGTATTTAAGAATAAGTGGAGCTTTACCTCTCGGTCTCAAATATACCTTAGACACAGGGATAATTTCAGTTTCTTTCCTTTTGTAAAGTAATGTAACGTAACTATGATTCCTTGTATGATGGAAATGATAAATGTATAGTCTGTAACAAATATGACAAAATGAAATGACCAAGAAGGCATGTTCTGTTACAACAGTGCTTCGCCATGGCGTGTCCGCAGTTGCTGTTACTGGGTTATGCAGCAGTGGGCCTTGTGCTGTCAATGGCTCACGAGACAGTATCTCGGGCAAACAATGGTGGAATACTGTACCCGCAGGAATCAGAGTCACGTGATGTCCGTTCGCTTGATGGTCTTTGGAACTTCCGGCTGTCACCGGAACCGGACCCCTTAACAGGATTTCGGGAACGCTGGTTCCAAAAGGATCTTAGCCAGGTAGGCCTCCATCTGTTCAACGCAGATTTAACCCTCTGAACCCGAATTTACGTCTGAATATGCAAATTAGTAGAAATAAAATTATGCTTTCATGGGCAGTTACAGACTACAGTTTTAATTAGGGAAATCAAACAATACGCACGACGTTAAATTTTTTCAGACAGGGGAGACCATTCCCATGCCAGTCCCTGCGAGTTACAACGACATCACGGAAGACAAAACTATCCGAGACCACGTCGGACTGGTGTGGTACGACAGAACGTTCTACGTTCCCGAAGCATGGCGTCAGAGTTCTCTTGTCTGGCTACGCTTTGGCAGTGTTCATTACGCGGCGCAAGTCGTGAGTATTTACGCTACGCTACGTTCCGTTCCACGCACAGTTTTTACAAACGCGTCATCTTTCTAAAAAGAGCTTTTTTTACACTTTGGAAGTAGTTCTGTAAAAATTGCAGACTCCAATAATCCCATTCATAATAATTATTATATTATAATAAATATAATCAAACTAGCAATCTACTGCAGGACGATAATCAACAGCGAGATATCTCTCTCATAAATTGTAAGCAATTAATTTAACTGTCAATTTTACTCGGAGAACGTTAAAATACACAAACTGTCAATGAATTGTGAATTATATCTGTGAAAATAGGTTAAGACAAAGTCAAGAACTTCAATGATGGAAATGTAAGGTTATGTTCGATCATGTATGGCAATCAGCGGAGCGCAACAACTGGCTTTCTTTTCTGGCTTGGCACTCGTGTCACGACGCTGCCAGGACACGTGGTGGAAATGCTAATTGCTTGATAAGCCCAGTTCTTTTGCTCTCAAAGACTGATGGCAGACGGCGTGCCCGTCGGCCAGTCAACAAGTAGACAATTGCCTACAAATGTGGGTTTGCAAAAAGAATGTCAAGATGTCAAGTCAACGAAACTCACGTGTAATGACAATGCAGAATCTTGTCTTACTTTGCATGACGCAAGGCTGTGCAAGTGGCTGAGGCCTCGGCCCACTGGTGGGCTCTGGCTTTTACCATCGCCTACACAGCGTCAAAGGACGATGAATGAATCAGAAAGGCTTGGAAGGAAGCGGTCGTGGCCTAATTTAAGTTAATCCCGGACCTCATGAATATGAAGCAGGTGTTTAAACACACAGTGATTTGCGTCTCTACGTCTACAATACGTTTTATAGTTCACTTCTTCCCGCAAGGTAACGTGGACTGTGCCATCATGCCACCCTGGTAAGTGGTTGTCATCATGGGGCTTACCACGTGCCATATAATTCACCACCATCAAGAAATCGGCGTTGTAAACATTGAGGTTGATTAGACACCAACAGCACTTAATAACAGAGGGTCCCGAAACATGGAAATGTAATTAACTTTGCTAGGCTGCTTTTCTACAGAACGAAAATAATAACAAACTATAAATAGTTATCTGTCTTATGGTAAGGTATAATAAAATATTTCTGCTACGAATGTAAAATCTCGTGTGAAGATTGATCAAAACTGTGCACAGAAATCTTATATTTAAATTATACCTGACACTTTCTAGAACAGACAACGTATACTGGCAGACATTTGTTCTTGAAGTATAACAACAATTTTTATAACTTTTGACTCACAATTCATGTTAATCTGTGTTTGTAGAGGAAGAGTTCAAAGGGAAGCAAGTGTCATAAATTCTTGCTAGAACTTTTGGTTTCAATTTTTGTTGTGTTTGTTGCATTTCCATTTCTAAATTTTCTGTTCTCTAATTCCTTTCATGTTTCTCTAGCCTTCACTCAGAGTAACACAAAATACTTTTCAAAAGTAAAAATATTCTTTAATTAAAATTCGTTTTGCCACTAAAAACTTTATTCTTCACAACTAATGAATTAGACAACTGAACACTAAAGGTGATTAACGTTATAATCGACATTTATTTACTGTGCCACTAGCAAAAATATCAGCTTGTACTATACACAAGATGTCCATCATTTCAATGTGAAATACCTTTCTTCTATACTCCTACTTCTACAAGGTACGGTGGCCAAATTTGAACCTTCCAGCTTCTCAAATTTATAAGCATTTATAAAATTGCATTTTGTATGCAAATATATTCGTAAATTACCTTAATCACGGTTTTCTGGAAACTTTTTGCTGATGACATCTTTCTTCCTTGGCCCCTTGATCCTGTCATTCTACTTCTTTTCCTTGAACTATTGTCCATTTCACTTGATCCATCCACTCTGCCCAAGTTACCTTCCTTTGTGTCCACATTCACAATTACCATTTTTCCACTTTCGCTGACCTTGACAGTCAAGGTTGTTAAACCACAAAGTCTTGGTTCCTACCTAAAGCTGCTGGTTTGCATCCTGATAAAACAGGGACGTTTGTTTCCTGCTTCAGACCACACTGTCTTGCAGATGGATGATGTAAGGACAATAAACTCAAGGCATTAATTAAAGAAAGAGATGGAGCCCAGAGTGTTTCTGCATGGATCTATCCACCTAACTACCTTTCTTTCTATATCCATGTGTTCACATAGGAACCCTATCCTCAGCCAGTCAAACTCAGTCCTGTCCATAACCTCTAATTTCATATTATTTCCCCATTTATGTTAGCACCCCCCCCCCCCCCCCCCCCCATTCCATTTTCCCATCAGGTTTCCCAGCCACTATTCTGCATATAAAGCCTGTAGGACTAAAATTTGTATTTGTTTGTCATCTGCTTGCATGGAAGTGGGTGAACGGACATCTTGTGTTAAGTCATGAAATCGGGCACCTGCCCTTCCAGGCTGATATTACATCAGTTGTCAAATTTGGGGCAAAGAATAGAATCACGGTCGCTGTGGACAACATCCTTCACCAGACCACGGTGCCCCAAGGACATGTCTCTGAAGTGAACACGTAAGAAATTTTATTACTGCCCTTGTTAGAATGTTGAGAACAAACCACAGATGAATGAAGCAACAGGACCTGGTGAAAATTACATAATGAAGAAATCTTAAGAATAATGTGTGGACTAGATTCCACTGGCTGAAGATGGAATCCTTTGGCAGGCTGTTGGTTAACTCAGTGAATTGGCTTCAAGTTCCATCAGAGCAAGAAATTTATTACTCAACCAAGTAACTAAAATAAATATGATGATTAACGGGTAATTATTTTCTTTCACTGATTAGTTAAAACACAAGAACAAATTTAAATCGACAACTAGTGAGAAGTTATTTATATTAAAAGACATGTACAGTGTAGGCATCAAGAATAATTGATTTAATGTTCAGAGTAATTAGAACACTGAACAATTTTGTTTCAGTGACAATGGAACCAGGATTATTCAGACATACACATTTGATTTCTTCAATTATGCTGGGATCCACAGATCAGTGCATCTGTATACGACACCTAGCATCTACATTGATGATATCTCGGTGCACACCGGTATCAGAGGTGATACAGGTTAGTGATTCATACAGACCAAGCATCCATAGATTTGTAGGATTTGAAGTTTTCATTCTGGTGAGTCCAAAGATAGCTGTGTTCTAGGTTGTAGCACTGTGTAGTCTGGTAGAAGTCTACCAACGTTTCAGAGGTCCTCGCTGCTGCCATCATCATCATCACAGAACTCAGAACAACCAAGAAGACAGCTATCTTCAACCTTAGATTTGTATTCAGGAGTAACTGGGCTCAAATTTGAGTTGGGTTAACAACTACCCTGGTTGAATGTTCATTTTCATACGTCTGCATCTTTAATTTCATAACATCTCTTGCCTAAACTCCTATTTCTGATTTTAGGCTTTATTGTTCATTTCTTAGTATGTACTCTACAGAAAACTACATACACTGATTATTGTAAACACACATGCAAACACATGGATACATAGGAACATACATTTATATTTTTTTATTGTAGTGGTGATATGTATTCACCAATTTTAATCCACACTACATGTTTAATAATCTATAGATGCAGACATTCTGATGTGTGAGAGAATGAAAGTATAATGGATTTTGATATCTGATTACCATATTGCACTGTGATTATGTTGTATGTTATTGTGATTAATTAGTAGTTAATACACATATTTAGTACTAAAATGGTTCTAGGGTTGATCTCTTTCAGTGTCAGTACAACTGAAAATAATAAACAATAAAAATATGTCAGTACAGTAACAAGTAAGTGACTGAAGACAGAAGTACAGTTAATTTTTAAAAAGTTTTGTACATGAAATATACCTGAGAAAATGGGCAATGTACACCATAATTGTAGAGTAATAAATCACCATTGTCACAAAATATTTAGAGAATCAACAACTGATAGCATCATGACTCTCCAGGTATCATCATGTACAACGTAACCTATGGCGGTCTTTTACGTGCAACAAGTCAAGGGCCTGCATGTTATGTCGATCTTTTGGATCGAGATGGCAACTACATTATTCGAGATGCTGGATCTGGACAACTTCAAGGGGAGCTAGAGGTTCCTGTTGCAAGACTGTGGTGGCCCTACCTCATGGATCCAGAACCTGGCTATATGTATACTCTCCAGGTATTCTAGTATTTAAATCAAAATAAATTAATTCTTTGTAATGTCATTAATTTCCCCCTATCTTGTGCCATAATTCTTCCATTGTTAAGAATATATTATAAATTTATTTAATGGAACCAACACAACAGTGTCAAATATACTGTTTCTGCTTTCCTACACTGGACTGCAATTTAACTATGTTACAGTCCTTTTATAATTAAACAGTCAAAACAATTCCTTCTTTATTCATTCTATTTAGATTTTAATTAAGTAATAGTTCAATGCCTCTTTAGAATATTTGAGTTTTGTGTTACTATACACAGCAGATTCTGCATGAGTGCAGTTTGCGGTCCCATAATGCACATGCGATCTGTCAAATATATTTCAAACTATTGTATACAGGAACAGTAGTTTCCTTGTGTTAATGTGAATGTGGCTTGGCCATGCAAATTAATTATGATGAGTAATTTAGACAGAAGACAGCCATCTTTGTGTGAGGACCTCAAATCCTACAGGAGAATGTGGTTAGCTCTATGCTGCAACCACTTTACACCCAAGAAGAAGTCTCCAGTACCTAGTGGATAAGAGTCTGCAGTAACCTCAGAGTCTGTCTGAGTATGGTAATAAAAAGAAAAATCCCATTGCCTGTACAAGGATTTAAACCCTGGTTGTCCAGTTTTTAGTGAAGAACTTACTCACTGGGTCCAGTCTGTAATGTGACTGGTTACGGGCTGGATGACCGGAGTTCAACTCCAGGGCTTACGCAGTTGTTATTATCTCCACAAACATATCCAGACTCTCTCTAGGGACAATAAGTTTAAGAACATATGGAGCTTTACCTTCAGTTTCCTCTATATCTTTGTGGTGTGGTACTTTAATTACTTAACATTATCCAAAAATGGAAATTAAAGAAAAAGCACACTGTTTCTATTGGGTGACTTGTGTTGTTTTTGATGCACAGGTCAGATTATCTGCACAACAGTGGGGAATTGAAGATATATACCGTGTTCCAGTAGGAATCAGGACAGTGGAATGGAACAATACAAGTATCCTAATAAATGGTCGGCCCATCTACCTCAGAGGATTTGGTCGACATGAGGATTCTGATGTAAGCTAGTCTGTTAAAGAATTCCACCATGCTATTGCAACTTTTTAATTTGTACTGGGCTAAGTTGAAAATAACATTCCATATATAATGTTCTAGGATTATTTCCAAAATATGAAGATGAATATAAAATATTTATATTTCTTTCATTTGTTCCAGCAAGAAAAATACAGAACTTGTCCTTTTCCAGTGATGGACATTTATGACACAAGATAGGCATGCACTTGGACAAAAAAGCAACTTTAATAGCACTAACGTTCAGCCAATCTATTGACAAAATTCTCTGCCATTCCAGCAAAACATAACCCCCAAAATTGTATATCACCATTATAACAATGTTAGATTACCTGCATCAGTTACCTTAATTGACTGGTTCCTATATCTGAAACTGATTTATCACATATGGCTTTCTTATTGCCATAATAATGAAGGTAGGGAGCACCTCTGATACACGGGTGAACTTCTATCAGATGACGCATAACCCCCAAAATTGTATATCACCATTATAACAATGTTAGATTACCTGCATCAGTTACCTTAATTGACTGGTTCCTATATCTGAAACTGATTTATCACATATGGCTTTCTTATTGCCATAATAATGAAGGTAGGGAGCACCTCTGATACAAGGGTTAACTTCTATCAGATGATGCAGTGTTACAACCCAGAAGACAGTTATCTTCATACTCACTGCTATGAGAACATGAAATACAATTTGGTATGTGGTATTTAATTGAAGTTCTGGTTTAATTTACAGCTCAGAGGCAAAGGGCTTGACTACGCTCTAATTGTGAAGGATAATAACCTGATAAAATGGGTAGGGGCCAACTCTTATCGCACCTCACACTATCCATATGCTGAAGAGATTATGGACTTTGCTGACAGAGAAGGGATAATCATAATAGATGAGTGCCCCAGTGTTGATACAGAGTAAGTTCACAGTAACAGCAAGATATTTTCTATCTGTTCACCAGTGCTGGCATATGTTACCCTTCTTCCTCCACTCTCTAAAGAGGTTTGCATTTCTTTAAATTGATGCATGTTCTTGGACAATTCTTCTTCATATTAGTTTGAAAAAAAAAACCCACTCATTTTGTAAGCTTTCATGGTTTCAATTACTGCACCTAATGTATACAGTCACGTTTGTGATAATGCGTAATTTCCTTTTGACTGAATTTAATTTTTTAATGTGTTCTACTAACTGGCTATGTATCCTAAAAATTAATATTGTAATATGTAAGATTCTCAAGGTAGATAGTATAGTTAAAGATACTGGCTGCTCTACACAGGAACAGTTGGAACAATCATGCAGATGTGAAATGGCAGAGTCAGAGGAAGACCAAGGAGAAAATAGACATAGAACATTTTATTTTTTTGCTTTTCAATGGGTAGGCACTATGTCTGTATGAACCAGCTGTTAACAGGCCAACTGTCCATTCCCCAAATGATACATGAGTCAATATGAGCAAAGGTGGAAAGATACTGGAAGGGATAACCTAAAAGACTTGGAGAAAAATTTGTCCCAGCATCACTTTGCCTAGCAAAAGTCTCTCATGAACTGCCCTGAGAGTAAACCCAGGGTGCAGCAATGAGAAAAAGAGAATTTGATCTCTTTTACAGGCATTGAATTAATTACTGAAGATAATAATTATGGCTTGTGATTTAGTTAATTATATTTATATTATTTTAATGTAATGCAGTTTATATAACACATTATCTTGGAGAAAATATGTTACTTTCCATTTCAGAAATTATTCCCCTGCTCTTTTAGAAAAACACAAGGATTCACTAACTCAGCTAATTCGCCGTGACAAGAACCGTCCCAGCGTCATATTTTGGTCCATTGCGAATGAGGCCAGAACACAGCTACCAGTCGCAGATTCTTACTTCAGGTAATAAAGAAATTCTATTCTATATTATTCTTAGCACAAGATATCTGTAAGCATTTTTATGCAACAGATTTTCATTATGCATATTGTTTCACTGATTACAAACCATGAAAGCAGTTAGTTGAATGTTGGAGCAGCATGATAAATGTTAATACGACTAAAACTGTTTAGTGATCACCTGTTACAGTTACAAAGTACATATGACAAGTAAATTACAGATCAATCAATACAGTTTATTGTCATGGAAGTAACTAAATACTTTTGTATAAAAATGGGATATGTAGCATGTATTATAAACTGTTTTGCCGGTCATGGAAACTAGCAATGGCTGGGGGTTCATCGTGCTGACCACACGTCACCCTATATCTGGTTGGATGATCGTTCACCTCTGCTTAGGCATGTGAACGTCAGGCCAGCAGCCAGACAGTTGGCTTTGGCTCTCAGAGGGCTGTTACGCCACAGATTATTATTATAAATTGTTTCACGTATTCATTACTGCATTTTTTCCTATTACTAATCCTTATTCTTATTACCTTAACAAGTATAATGATTACTGTCTTACACCATAACATCAGGCTCTTCTCTTTGCTATTTTAATGAACAGCATTTTGGAGTTATCCCCTTTTGCACCAAAGCACAAATTAATTCTCTTTCTGATGACACCTTGAGTTCCTGTAACTCCATTGTGGCCATGTTCTTAGTCATGAACTGAAAATAGTATTTCAACAAGGAACACATGTTCTTCAATATCTTTTTTTAGAAATTATGCATTCTGTATTGGTCATGATGTATATGCAAATTTACTGTAAAAAACATCATAAATCTTTTATATAATTAAAACCTACAGTATCTGAGTTGTAACACAATGTACTCTTGTGGTTGTGCACATCTTAACAAGATTTATATTTTGTGTCATGCAGAAATTTTATGCACAAAAGTCATGTAAGCTAAGTGTCATATTAAACTAACAAAGAGTTTTTTTTCCAGGGCTGTTGTGGAGCATGTAAGGTATTTGGATTCAACTCGACCAATCACCATGGCAATTGCCAGAGGATCTAGTGAAGATCGAACAGTTAGTTTCAGCAACTCACTTCATTCAAAATAACACACTTAAGGCATCAGGAAATTTTTATATATATCTCATATCAGTTTTGATAAAAACACGTAAAAACTATATATATATATATATATATATATGTGTATATATATATATATATATATATTATGTGTATGAGAACAACTGCAATCTCATATCATCGTTGCACCTCTGTTTGCTGATACCAAATTAATATTATGTACATTTACACACAAAAGTGGAAACATGTTTTCAGTTTGACATAATTATACATTGTACATTTAGGGGAAATAGTTCATAAGTTATAATTCCTGTAATGAATTTTTTGGTTCTACAAAGAGCAGGGAATTTCTTTATCACCTAAGTGACCGAAAGCTTTTCAAGGAAGACCCTAATTAAATTTATTGTTTATGAAATCATCACTGCCTACAATCTGGCTTATACCTGACTGTTAGAGTCTGAAAAAGATGTTGTAACCTTCTTTCTTGTCTCATTTTGTCTTTCAAGGGCCAATATCTGGATGTGATCGGGTTCAACCGGTACAATGGTTGGTACAGCAATACAGGAAGAACAGACACCATATACAATAATGTGATTGCAGAAGCGACGTCATGGCATCACAAGTACAATAAACCAGTCATGATGATGGAATATGGGGCAGACACCCTGACAGGACTTCACATGGTATGCAAATGCAACATTACGGTTAACCCTTTTCAATGCCACTTCTTTGCACTGTCTTGTCATCAGCACAACACAAAGCACAAAAAAGATCACATAATGAAGAGGACGTACCCATCTATCTGTTTAATTTCTAAAACTGCTTAATAGATTTTGATTTAACTGGCCAGTAGTGCGGTGGGGTTAAATTAAATGCTGTTAATTGAGTTTAATCTTGACCTGTATCAGTTCAATATAACCCATACTATGTACGAAGACAAACTTTATAATTTTCTCAAAGATGGTTCTGATTATACAAAAAAATTACACACAATACAAAAAACAAATGTTGTTAAAAAGTTACAAATTTTAGTTTACATATTATTTGTTGAAGAAATTTTATAAACCACCCAGTGTTACATTATTGTGTAACAAAAGCAATGTTCTGTAACTTTAATTATAAGACTCATGAATTCTGTTTCTGCATTATCCTTCAAACTAATTAACTGCCTTAAATTTGGTATTAGTATAAAACATTATATAAACTATTAAATATAATTACCCAAATTTTACTTAATTAAGTAGACTGTAGTGTTGAGTTATTTTGTTTCTATTGACAAATTAACATTATAAATTCCCTGTCAGATATGTTAGCTAAATATTTATAGACAAAAGAATAACATTCACCTATATTGAACATAAGTTTAAAGTGATAATAATTAAATTTTCAGTTTCCTGAATATGTATGGTCAGAAGAGTATCAAGTTGAAGTCATGTCCAAGCACTTTGAAGCATTTGACAGACTGCGTGCACAAGGGTTCTTTGTGGGAGAAATGATTTGGAATTTTGCCGACTTTAAAACTGCTCAGAGTAAGTACAAACAAATAATTTACTGCATAATTTTATAAATGTTTCCATCATTAAGGTTTTAGAGGCTTCAAGACAAAATAAAGACCATTATTTGTCGAGATATATTTTTTAAACAGAAAGCATTAATAAAAATATTTTTCCATGAGACATAGCAACATATGTAGGTGACCTAGCTCTGCCAGACTAATGTAGCATACTTAAATGTTATGACACACTTCAAACTTTGTTTTCCAGTATTTTCCTTAATTATATATACTGTTCTATATTTTCTCATAAATACTTCTGTGTGTGTCCACTCTTTCATATATATTCCCTTAATGTGTTTCATCAGTGGCCATTTTGTTAACATTTTTCTTTGTTGTTCACTCCCACAAAGGAATTATTTTGCCATCCATTTTTAACATATTCCCCTACCTTTACAAATGGATACATTTTCATGACACTGTATGCTAATATCATCGCGTTCCTATCCCACAGCAATAACACGAGTTGGAGGAAACAAAAAAGGTATCTTCACACGAAACAGACAACCAAAATCTTCAGCTCATCACATACGAAGACGTTATTGGGCATTAGCCGGCGAATTGGATAAAGCGGTACTGCCAAAGAATCTCAACCACTATGTGTCTAAATCATAATATTCATAGGAAAATGTCATCGGACATAATGAAATTACAAAACGCTGAGTGTGATCAGTGAAATGTAAAATGATAATTCAGTAATCTGTAATGAATTAATATTAATTTAAACAGGACTTGTAGATACCAGAATGCAAACTACATGATGCAGTCCATCATGAAGTGCAGTGTTGATCAAATGAAATGACTTACTGAAAATGTGTACACTCAGAGAATGAAGAATGAAATTCTTGCTCCGGTTAATGGAAAAAAATACAAAACTGGGAGCCGTGCAACGTTGCAAGATGGGAGAAATATTCATCTTTATCTTATGAGAATACTGGATTTAAATTCCCTTAGTGTGGGGCTACTGACTGGATTTAAACTCAGGGGTTTAAGGATTTCGTGGTACGCTACTGTGACAGTCAGTTGGCTGGATTGCACGTAAGCTGTAATGCGCAGCTAACGAAGTTTAATACCACTTCAAAATTTCTGTGCTAAATAGATCACTGAAATATGCAAGTAATTTTTTATAGAATGTAAAACAACAATATGGCAGTGAATGCGCAGCTAACGAAGTTTAATACCATTTCAAATTTTATGTGCTAAATAGATCACTGAAATATGCCGGTAATTTTTATAGAATGTAAAACGACAATATGGCAGTGAAAAAATGTCTGTATTTAGCTTCCTATCTGATGGTGCTAATTAATGAACAACTACAACTAAGTAAGTGAAATGTTGTAATAACAATTATGAACATGGCAACTGTGTGAAACTTTGGATTTATATCTGACACACTTACCATAAGAGAAATCGATTCACGTGAAAATTATGCATATATGTAAGTTCTTTAACTTGTCCTTAAATCAACCGGTATTTCTCATGAGAGTGTAATTCTGAACAAGCCTGGTAATGCAGTTTCCAGCGCCTTAACCTCCATCATATCTGCGACGGAGATCAACCCACGCTACACCATAAATATGCATGATGGCACATGAAAAAAATTAAGTTGTCAGAAACTGACTGCGGAAAAAAATACAATCATAAATAACACACGTATTAAGACCTGTACAAAAATAACAGCAAGAATATTTAGTTGTTAAAATGGGGTCCGCAGTGGCTGCGCGGTCTGAGGCGTAGGCCTTGTGCTGCTTGGTCGAAGGGACCATGGGTTCGAATCCCACTCAAGCCATGGATGTTTTTCTGTGTTGTGGTGTCCTGTGTACAGGTAGAGACCTAGCGACAGGCCGATCCCTAGTCCAAGGACAGTGACAGCAAAAATGAAGCATCAGTAAAATAACTCCTTTGTACATAACATACATGAATTTCTGTATTGTTACATGCAACAGCCTAATTGTCGTCTAGTAGTTTAGTATATGACATCAGTGGTGAGAAATATGATTCTTACTAAAACAGTTCAAATTAAGAATTATTATATTCACATCAAAATTCAGAAGAATTCTACAAAAATCCGTTAGTATTTTTTGCATATGTGTTTGAAGGCTGTTACTGGAATTTAATGCATTTCCTCTGTATAATGTTGATTCAGTGCAATATAATTTGAGTTCTTATCAAGTTGTTCATTACAAGAATCCTATTTAATATATATGGGTAATTTAAGATCATGTATAACAATATGAGAGTAATCTCAGTCTTAATATCTGTATTTTATTATTTATAAATGAAAATGAATTAAAGTAAAGAATTATTTATACTAATCCAGCAGTTTTGTCACATAAACATTATTTTTATTGTTACATCTGTTATGTATGCAATTAAAATAACCTGTTACTCTCGTCTTCAGGTGCTCAGTCATCATTATACTGATATATTTTTATATATTAAATATTGTCCGTCTAATCACAATAATTCTTATTAAATATTAAAATATTACAATAATTAACATTTTAAAATATTTAAAATATTAAATGATGTTCTTTATCGAAATATTCGATTTACATTAGACCATCATTTTTCATGTTTCACGACATGTTTCAGTTCCTAAAAGAACCATCCTCAGGTGTATATAATTATATAAAGCTTCAAAACGATAAATAATTTCAAATAGTTAATTAGTTAAGCTGAAACGAATTGCGTTGATGCCAAACGTTACCGCTGATCTGTACAATAGTTTCTGAAACTTTTCGACCACAAAACATTTTATAAAAATATCTCATATATCAAATCAAAGACGCAGACACAAATTATACTGGAAAAGATTTACCCTTATTTGGAGAACACGCGGTATATTTTTAAGACGACTTCTGTTATAAGTTTTCATTACCTATTTTGAAATTTTGTTCAACGTTAAAGATACAAAATAAAAAACTCGTATTTTGGAAAGACATTCCATTTTTTCCAAGGTTCAGAGATTGTAGGAAATATCAAAAACGACCTTCAGCGACCAACCACAATGACAGCATTAGACAAAATGCTGTTTTCTCATTCTGTAGTACACTAAGGATGTGGACGCCATTTCGGAGAAAAACAAAGGACACGCACGACTCGCATATAAACCTTTTCAAAAACAGTTGTTACGATATGTACCACCTTACTTCAGTATCACTGCGCAGTATGTTCTCGGCTTAATCAGCGATTATTTTCCTATGCAGAATGTACTCATTGGTATTTAAGTTTTCTCTGCCGTAGAACTTAGGTTTCCTTCGGCTTAACTTATCTTTTCTCCACTTCTAAACCTTTTATTCAACTCATCTATACGAGAAGGGCAAGTGGGCACGGCCTGGAAACCTTCACAGTCGAAAATCTGCTTCTCAGATTTAAATGTAACATCCTCTCATTACTCTCGCCTCCTTCCAAATCCACTTTACCTTTTTTTTATTTATTGATTCATTCGGCTTCAAACGGTTGATGATATTTGGTAGCTACAGAGAATCTAATAGATCCTCTGGTTCAGTTCCCTTGTTCCCTAATGCCCGCAATTGAATTAGGAACGCACGGACGAGCAGTCTCGTTCAGGCCAGTCCTTTGCATCAGGAAAATTTCCTTCGTTAAAGCCTCAAAGATACGTAAAAATTGTGTTCAATTTTCCTTTGTCGACGAAAAAGTCAGAGATGACGATGCATTTTAACAGAGTATCGCGTGACGTAAGAGAACCACGAGGTCAGCGAGTGATCGAAAAAAATCCTCTGCCCCCGTCGGGGATCGAACCCCGGTCGTCCAGCCCGTAGCTAGTCACTATACTGACTGAGCTATCCCGGCTCACTTCACACCAACGTACACGTGGAATTATTTTTACGGCACGTGAACCAACGAAGGAGAACGCTACGCAATGAGAAGCTTTGCCCGTCACGTGATTAATTAATTAAACATAAAAGGTGGAAATGAGCGCCATATTTGGCACACATTGGGGGAATAAGGAATGTTTTTAATCTTTTGGTCCGAAAACCATAGAGATTTAGAATAACATGAAAACATAACAATAAAACGGTTAGTAAAAAAATATGATGCAAAAATTTGCGAAATCGACTCAGCTGGCTCAGTACAGGGTACAACGACGGGCGATGTGAACACGACAATGACATTTCAGATTCCATAAAAACAATCAACCTAATGATCAGCTGAGAAAGTGTCATTGATGTGCGTTGATGTTAGTTGCACATGTCTGCCTTGTCGAAATAAAGCGTTCCAAAAAATTATAGGACAATTATTTGAAGTAAAGGATATTAATGGTCGAACGGGTTTGAATCCCGGTCGGGACACGCACTACGTCATTGCTGCTTTTTAGTTGCATTGTCCTTTTACGGAGAACCCCTACGACGGACAAATTCCTCATCTAAAGCAGTGGTATTCAACCTTTTTTGTTCGCGTACCCCCAGATATAATTTCTCTTCAACTTTGTACCCCCAAATTTGTTAGTGTATAAATCAAGTTATACATAGTATATAATCTACATCTAAAATAAATTAAATAAATTACATTACTGATTATTCAGTGTTTATCATAAAATAATATATATTTTTTTAAATTTCACGTACCCCTTAAAATGTCTTCGCGTACCCCAGGTTGAATACCACTGATCTCAAGTGCACTCCATGGTCTACAGATTCACGATTTACTGTTTCAGGACGGATTCTCAGTCACATCAGGCCAGTGGAAAGTTAAATGCATTGTGTTAAAGAGACAGCTAGATATGTAATTCACGCGAATACTGCACTTTGTGTAAAAGACACTTTGCCATACTGAAAGAAACAGCGAGTCTAATTTCTGAACCTGACCTAAGGCAATAGTCGTCCAGGAAGGAGGCTCGCTTCTATGTAACTGAGGTTTATGTCATAGACCAGAACCATCGTAAATAATAATAGCGATGATAACACAGATTCGATCACGACCTATCGACTGTTCCCCAACGTTGACATTGACATCTTCACCGTCGTGAGAATCTCCTTCCTGTTTCATTTGCAGAAATTCTGCAACAACATCTTATACTCGACAGAATATGCCAAGAATCTCTGGCGTCCTGCTTTTCCGCAGTGTCGCCGTCATATTCTGAGCAACAGTGCCAGTTCCATCAAGTCCTCCCACTAGATAACGCAGCTGCACGATGAAAACTGGAGTAGGGCCCAGGACGAGAAAGCGTATCCTGGAATATAGTAGACAAATGAAATCACGTGCGATTACAGTGTAATCTAGCTCAGCGATTACCATCCGAATATCCTGTTGATTTGTATTTCGTACATATGAAAAACCTGATCGTATGGGATTGGGGTTCATCACATCCGGCACATTTACCAACACTTGTTGCTGGACACGATCTAACGAGTTATAAAGATGCTCCAGCTGTATCTTTCCATTGAAAGATTCAGTGTTACTTATTTGATTAACGCGAAAAGAAAGTTTTATAGACACACAGTATCAATTTAACTTACGACATACCATTCAAGAAATGTAATGACAGATCTTGAACTTGAAAGTTATCACCCTATTAAGATATCATTTCTTATTTACTTGAAGAATAATGATACTGATATTTATTTTTATTTATTTAGTGTTCTGTCTGACGACAGGTCCATATGAACAGGATCCTTCCATCCTTTTCTCGGACTGGGACCTGTTCATATACGTTCTTGGCAGATGATCCAGAAGTGGTTTGCCATTGCCTTCTTCTGTGTGTGAATGGAGTAATTGTTGGGATGCCACGGAGGAAAACTCCGTGTTGCCTAGACCACGGCCTTGCCCAACACAAGTTATAAATCCGGGCACCGCCGGGAATCGAACCCGAGACCCCAGGATTACAAGGCCAGCGCTCTAACCGCTAGACCACCGTGGCTGATACTGATATATTATGTTAAATTAACCGAGAAATATTTCAGAAAGAGTAATCGATGTGAAAAGATTGAAATCTTAAGCCAGTTACTAA